CGCATACGGTGCTGCAGGGATTTTTAGGTGTACCTCTTCGGGCTCTTGCATACCTTTTTCTCGTCAGATGTGTGCGTGTTCTTTAGATCCTCAGATGGCTCTAGCACTTTCGTGACCACGGGCTGAGAGTCTTTTGCTAGATTTTGGCATTTAGCAACTGACATACGGTTTAATGTGAAGACAAACAACAACAACAACAATCTCCGTTCCCATCCTCTGCTGCGCTCTTTCACCAATAAAGGACTCTCATCTCAAGGATCGAAGGCACGTGCAGAGCGAGTCGAAGGTGAGCGAGAAAGCTCGCCAACAATCCTTAGTAGCCCGCAAAAATGCCGTAGTGAAACTTCCGCATTTCGACAGGCTCGATTGCACGGCAGATCACTGGCACCTGTTGGAGAGGTGAGGCTGCTGCTGTAGGGAGGCGCACAGACAGCAGCGAGACAGGGAGCCACCAATAATGGCATATGGGTGACTATTAGCTCAGCGCCGTGGGCAGTGAACAACCTGGTGCGACGGCGTGTTATAGACGGGATTTGGTGTGTGGAACCAACTGCCGAAACCGGACTTTGCGCGTGAATCGCACCGTTGGTTGCGTAAGACACCACACCCCCTGGACCGATTTTCAATGCTGGAATATTCGATAGAAAAAGCAGTTATAACGGTGCCGAGAATGTATGGTACCGTTCTAAAGAAGAAAGAAAATGAGGGCGTTAGAGCCTTCTCGTCAACAGCTTACCGAAAATGTATTGTTTGGTGTTGGCATTCTCTTCCTCGTGGAGTAATTGCGTAATCGCGCTTTGAAAAATCGGTCCAGGGGGTGTGGTATCTTACGCAACTAACGGTTCGCTTCACACGCAAAGTCCGGTTTCGGCAGTTGGTTCCACACACCAAATCACGTCTATTACACGCCGTCGCACCAGGTTGTTCACTGCCTACAACACCCCCATCTCGAGCCCTCTCAACCCATACTTGTGCCAGGCAATATTTTACTGCTCTGTCCCACTCATGGTTCGGCCTGCAGATGCGTAGGAAGCGCGGCACCAGCACCAGTAGCAGTTCTGGCGGAAGCGTTGTGGCTTGCGGAAGAGAATCGAAGCGGAAACATGTGTCGCGCCGTGGTCATCGAAGCTCCAGCAGCAATGCGAGCATCGAGAGAGAAGGCAGCAGGGGCCAAGGCGAAGGAGGCAAGCGTGTGCATAAATCGAAAAAACAATGCCGGACATCTCCCCGAGGCAGGTCAGGCACCAGAAATCGCAACAATAGCAGCAGGTCAAGCCGCCGCCGCCGCCGCCACCGCAGCAGCAGCAGCAGCAGCAGCAGCAGCAGCAGCAGCAGTCGCAGCAGCAGTAGCAGCAGCAGATCTAGCAGCAGAAGCAGGAAACGAAAGTTGCGGGGGCGCCGGCGGACGGGGGAGGCAGCGAGGGCTCTTCGTTCCGATAGCAAGCCGAGGAGGGGGGGGGAGCGAGACAGGACGAACAAAAGGAGCGTGAAGAGGAAGAGGATAACACACAAGAAGAGATCAGGTAATGTACCAAACTCCAGAAGGTGTCGTTGCCACCGGATGTCATGTAGTGTTGCAGCTGATGAGCTGCTTCGGTCCGCTTTTGGCGGCTGGCCAATGCCTAAAACCCGACACTCCAATCCCGTCGCATCTAATGGTGCCAAATAGAGACGCGGACACCAAGATTCGCGTGAGATACATGTTCGTCTTACAGGGCATGCCTTGTCTTGGTGTATCAAACAACACAATTGAAAATGTGGAATCCAGGCTCGGGCCAAACTTGCGTGTCATTCGAGCTGCCGTGTCCGCGTAATTTGTTGATATTGTCACGTGGCATGCGCTACTGCAGGTGTTGAGGCGCCGTTTGAAAAACTTGGGGTTTGTTTCCTGACCACGAAAGAAACGTCCTGTTGCCCCCACCGCCTGAATTATTGGAGGAGTTTTGACACTCATCACTTCGTTTTCAATGTCACTACATTGAGAGTACCACGGGTTTCCGAGATTTTTATGCATATTTTACGCTGTTGCCATGTAATGCTCTGGTCTCACGCGGAGGAAATGGGCATCGCATGCCATTTCATTGTTGCTACATAAGTTGTCTTGTTAGATACCAGACTGTAAACTCTCGGAAAAATAGCAAGTTCTACTACTCACCCCACCAAGCAGAAATCTCCCACGACCATAGTAGAACAACGCGGCGTGGTTGGAACCCTACACCCGCTGAACTACCACAAGTTAGCCAGTATGGTTTGTTCATCGTTGTCGTGAGGGCTAAACTCTCGCCGTGCGTAATTGTCTTGCCACTTCGCCCGAAGCAGGCGACCGGGCTTCACCGTCGCCGCCACTGCCAATGCCGCCGCCCAGCGATGGCATGGACGCCGAAAGGGAACGGATGGGAGGCAGACGTCGGGACAAAGAGTCTAGCAAGAAGAAGAAAGGCGAGAAAAAGGACAAGAAACCCAAGCGGAAGCAAACGCCTGTTGCACAGACGGCAAGGTCCCCCACTCCTACAAACACCGCCGCTGGTGCCGCCGCCACCGCTGCCTCCTGTGACTGCCCCGAGAAGAGAAGAAACGGGGCAGAAGATGGACTCAACACCGACTACCGGCAGAGTACGGCAACCGGTGGTTTCCTTCCCTCGTCTCGTAATAACGCCGCACAGGCGCAAGACCCGTCAAACGCCACCACAATTACTGCCGAAAGACCGGCAGATATGGAAACCAAGGCGGCGAGGGCAAGGGCTATGGTACCCATGCGACCGGAGGAGTATGCTGCACAGAAGAGGACAGTACGGCAGGTGGGTTGATGGGAGGGAAAGAGAGACACAAAGACTCGGGGGGGG